GTGGGTGAGCGATGTTCCCAGTGGACCGGCTATTGTGGACTAGTGGTGAGTGAAGACAATGCGGTATTATGTATTTCGAATGCCCGACTTGTTGCTGTCGAGGCAACAGGAGCAACGCCTCACTGAGGAAGAACTTGTCGGTACTTTGATGGTTGACACACGAAGAGGACGCCGGCTGCGGTACACCCCTTGTATCTTCTTTGCTCCATTCGTCTCTGCATTGCAAAGAAGGACTACTATGTACGAGAGAAGCGGCAAGGAGAGACGGGAGATGTTGATGCCACTAGGTACTGACGGACTCCCTGACGTCGAATGACATGCTCGCAAACCTTACTGCGGTAATTGTCCATCGACTCGTGCTTCCGCAAGGTACACACAATGATGATTTGCCAACAGGTCATCGTGCGGCCAGTGTCCAGGAGTTTCTGGTCCGGGATTGGAGAGCCCGTCCGTCAGCGTCGCCATCCAGTACTAGGTGAGGTCCGTCTGTCCGTGTGTCCGTCTTTTCGTCTGTCTGTCTCTGTCTGGCTATCGGATGGCTGGCGGGTGGTGAGGTGATTGGGGAGTGGAACATTGTTGGTGGGATGGGATGATTTGTGGCGACGCGCCAAGACGATGGCTGGGCGTGGTGCACTCGACGGCGTGCGGCCCACGGGCATGACTGAGGTGCGGTGTTGAGCCAGCTCGGCCGTCGGGATGGCAGCGCCGCCACTAGAGAGCATGGAAGCACCCTAGCGGAAGGAGGACGGCGGGACGGTCCAGTGTTCCTCAGGGTCGGTGCTCTTCGCTCCCGTGCATCCCGTGGGTTTGTTGACATTGGAAGTCGGCCGCAGGAAGCGCAAACAAGACAGGGTCAGCGATATTGAAACCTAAGCAGGGGATGAAGCCAGAGAATGGAGACTTGGGTTTCCATTCTCGGTTGTCGGCTTGTCTTTCTCATTTTTATTGTTTCATCTATGTTTAACTTATTTTGGCAAGAGCTGGATGACCCGGACAAAGCAGGCACACTGCACAGTGATCCTCTCCTGCCTCTCCAATGCCCAAGTGACAGCCAGACAAGCGGCAAGCAGGCACCAAACGTGGTAGGGACAAAGCCCACGTGGATGAGGTAGGAGCTCCGGTGCGTCCAACCGGCGATTGCTCGGAGGAAGGCCCAACCGTTACCTGTCGTCTCGCCATTCTTCGCGCTTGGCTCATTTGCTTGCATGAGGCAAGTCCGATAAACAGTCGAACGGAATGGCATGGGATGGGAAGAGAAAAGGAGACATCAGATGTCACGACTTATCACCACAAGCCCATAAAGGTGGCCCAGTTGGGCCACGGGACATGGCCGCTATGCATGATGCTGTCCGCTCGTTTCTTCCTCCCCAGAAGACCGCAGCGGGACGTCGTCAGGAGCTGATGATTTGTGCGCTTTCCTCTCAGTGGCAGCAGTATGTGAAGAAGCTGCACCGGGGTGGGGAAAATAATAAACATTCTCCGGCTCAATATGTCGGCTGCGGACACAATCGTTGCCGGCTTCAAACCTACAGCCACGTCGACGTCAAACGTCCTGCTGCCACAGGGCCGGTCGATTTCCAGGCCTCATTTTCGTCTGACGCGAGCCTCTCTGACCATTCGCAGTACAGCACATACCGACTACGTTTCAGGAGCCAGGTCCGCCCTCGTTCAGCCAATCGCCCGGGCTGCCGGTTCGTCGGATGCTATAGCCGGACGCCCGGTGGCAGTCACGGCAAGCTTGTCCGTCGCTGTATTGTGCTTCCGTCGGTTAGTCGCGCTCACCCGGCCCTGATGCCGGTTCCTCAGGATCGACACCGCGATGCGGCACTACGGGGACGAACGAGCCATTTCACCACGTTATGACTCCACGTTGTTGCTATGTTGCAGGCCTTTGGCATGTGTCAAACGCTCCGGGGAAGGAGCCTAGAACACGGCTGGCCCATGAACCGGTGCGCCTCCTGCTGCGAACTACCGACCAAGTATGGAGGTGAACGTAGACTAATCCTACGTCGATTGCGGCTGTTGAACTTACGTGCTCATGTTGTCCTACTGCCGGCGGCAGCATTAACGGAGACGTCCAAAGAAAGGGGCAAAGCTTCCCACGTCGGCAACCGGGATCACGCAATCATCGATGAAGCCCAATGGAGACAAACTCGGTCTTCTGACCGAGATAACGCATGCCTCCATGCATCGACTGCCGTGACCTGATGATACCTGAGGGCATGGTCTAGGATTCGCTGCCTTAACTGTTGCTGACAAAAAACCATTTGTTATGTCAAGTTGACGACATATCCGACTAACCACCATGCTCCCACCCAGTCACCCAGCCCAGATGCTTGTGCATGACCATTTTTGCACGCCGTTACAGTAAAAGTCTCGTCATGTGCCTTCAGCCTTTTTCGCGCTCGCAACAGTCATTGGTTAGAAATCGCAGCTGAATACGGATGCTGCCGGGGCTCAGGACAAGAACAAGGCACGACTGCGTCATATGTTGCGGCACGTTTGATAAACCATTGCATGACTCGACGAACTACTGCAGGACCTCCCGATAAACTCAATCCAGTCAGCGATAAAGCTGGGTGTGGAATCGATGGAGCGTCAGAACGTTGCTCCGCGCATCGAGACATCTTGACAATGACGTCACTCTGCCGGGCTGACTCGGAGGCTCGTTACTTTCCCGATTCATGGGAACAAACAGAACCGCCGGCGGCCGGGCGGGCGGGGGCTCACCAGGAACCTGGTCCGGCTGCAGCGGGGACTGTGTCGTCATCGCCCCGAGTTTGATGGGGGGAAAGGGGAGGGGTATTGGCGGGTCACAGTGCTTGAATTATGAAGCGCAGCTTTTTGAAACGGAACGCCGCGATAGCATCATCCACAAACGGTCCGGCTGCTCTCTTTCGCGATGCGCGTTGCGCCAAAAGGTGACACGATCGAAATCGTCGATTTATGTGTAAGAGGCGTCCAGTTCGCAGCACCCTGCAGGATGTGGGCATCATCTCCGGCGGTGTGCCCTACGCCGCGAATCCATCCACTGCACGGCGCATGATGCCCGTACATTGGCGACCACGGGACGGAGCCTGCGGAGGATTCCCCGTTTTAACATTTCCCAAACTGACGATGAGCAACAAATGGCCGGGGGGTTGATTGCGACAGCAATCTCAACCAACTGGACCCCTATCGCGAATGAGACGAGAACGCAGCGACATTATGACGACCGGGGAGGGTGCCAGGGCCCATGTAAGTAAGCCTCATTCTGCGTGCTGCCCTGCTGCTCCAAGCCATTCCTTGCTGCCCCAGATGCCGATCAGGCACTGACAAGGACAACCAGAGAAACAAAAGACAGGAATAACTTCGGTACGGCGGCAAAACGGTGTGCTCGGGACGACGCCGCGGAAGGGAGTTCTGGAGGGGTCAGGTAGGTTGATCTGCTACGGGCGTCAACAACCCCATGACGCGCGCCTATTTCGTGTCATACTGAAGCTTGTCTCGACTCGTCACTGGGCTAGCATGTGAAATGCCACGGCCAAAGGCCGATGCGAAAGAAGCAGGAACCCATAAAAATAAGGCAAAAGCCAAAACGGAAATGACGGGATGAAAGCAAAAGGGCTCAGGGTCGTGACGTCACCGGGCATAGTGCTCCTTGGAGAAGTCCCTAACCCAATTCGCGACAAAACGCAACCCATGGGGGGGAGGGGGAGGGGAAAGCACAAGCAGGCTTGCGGTACGTGAGATGGCCCTTGAGCGAGGGTTCCTTATCATTATGGTGGTACGAGAGCAAACGTCTAGTTTACGTCTTTTGCTCCTACCACTATCCAGGGTACCCCCCCCCAAACCCCTCCGCCCTTTGCGAATGAAGGGTCAGGTATCGTGGTGTCTAATTAAGGGTCACAACGCCCCCCCCCCCCTATCGGAGCGTAAACAAGGATGCCCGGATGCTCTCTGCTCCAGTCACAGCGTCGCGCCTCATGATTCAACGTCAGGACTGCCTCAAGGTTCGTTCGGTGTTGCGCTTGCGGACAGTTTTCTGGAGCGGCTGCTACGCAATGTCCAAGTACCAGGGCAGTTCTACCCCTCCACGCGAAAGGACCCTGAAGTTCCATTTTTCAAGGGTCCAGAACCCCCCACTTGTCATCGCGCACCAACGAACTGCCATCCGCGCCAATATCCAATCGTCGAGTTGCAAATTTCTTCCCTCCTCTCCCCAGACGAGAAAACCGTCTTGCGGCTGTCACTTCCTTTAGCCACCCCTCAAAAACGGCACATCTGGACGGAACTGCTATCAACCAAGGCCACAGTTTTCCGTCTTAACGGGACTGACCTGGATCAACCGGCTAACCTTCTGCCAAGAGTGTCAGGAAGAATCGAGTGCGAGGAAACAAGTTGCGAGTAAAAAAGAAAAGGAAGAGGCATCGTTTTGGACGTCGTCCTCGGCCAAAACAAACCACGTTCATTTCTCAGGGTTACGAACAAGGACGCACACCATTCTACGCGGGTCCATTCCTTCGCTTCCTTTCTTCCGTCAACTTGTCCGCTTAGTCTTCGGCTTCTGGGAGCCGTATCTCGACGTTCCAGCGGTCCGATCCAGGCAGGGTTACCATAAAGTGGTCTGACCTTTGTGGGCTTGCCCCGTTCTCCTTGCCAAAAAAACCCAAAATCAAAATCCTTGAGACACCGCCGCCGCCGCGCGCCAGCAGGCTCATTCTCTCCTAGGGTTCAGGTTCATCTCACCGTCCCGTTCTCCGAGACGGTGTTCCAGTTAGGTACCACGACACACGTCCGCCTGACTTGGACCTTGAGCCCAGCAGAACCAGGATCGTTGTTCTCCTCACTGACGTCAGTGTCACTTGCTTCCATCTCGATTTCGATCTCGATCCCCCGGCGGCTTTTTATTTTTTTATTTTTGCTCTCTGCATTTTTTAACCAGGCACATTTGCACCTGTTGCAGCCCAGGCCCTGCATAGTGCTGCCCCAAGCGCATTGTACTGGTTTCTCCCAACGCAATGTCCACAGCAAGCACTGCGACAACAGGCAACGAGTCGCCCATGGAGGACGACGCCTCCCGTCGCGCAAATCAGCTGTTGGAGCGTCGCCAGCATCTCACCGATGCTCTAGCCGGCCTTCCTTACGACTTGATCCTCTACCTGGAGCGGGCCGTTGTTCACTCAGAGTTGGCCTACCCCGATCTCGCTGCGGGTGACGCCTACCGGGCCCTGCTCCTGACTGACGAGGTCCTCAATGAGGGCTTTGAGTATCACGAGCAAGCCGTCGAAAGTCTCCAGTCACGTCCTCTGGACCCTTTGCCCCTTGTCCTCGACCATGGGCACTTACTAAACATCGGAAGCGACTATGTGGACGATGAGCCCAAGGACCAGGCTGGTCTGGTTGCACACGTGGCCAAGCTCTCTTCCGTGCGCGCTTTCCAAATTCTGGCACTCAGCCTTCTACTGTGCGGATGCCTCAAGAGCGCCTACGATTTCTGCGAGCGGGGTCTGACGCTTGCTCCCGACAACGACGAGCTGCTCCAGACGATGGGATACATCAAGGACATGGCTCGCCGTAGGCTTCGCAGGAAAGACTTCAACCCCAACGTCCTCCCGGAATGGGGACTCGTCCGGAGAGAAGTCTACCCCTGGAACTCGTACGAGCCCGACCGCTTTGCGCCCGAGTCTCTCGACTTCCTCAACACCGAGCTATCCAAGTTCGCGCCCAAATGCGCGGTCCAGGTGTCCCAGCTCCCTGTCTTGTTGGAGGGAGCTAGCGAAACGGACGACTACGAGATCATACCGACCTGCAACCAGCTGGGCCTCTTCGCCAAAGAAGATATTGCGCCGGGGGAAACCGTCTTGGACGAGTACTCGCTCTTGACCGCCAACAACCGCCTCAAGGAGCCGGTCTGCGACGCGTGCAGCGCCGACTTGCCGCCGTTGGGCAGCGAGCCGGCCGCCGTCAACTGCGAGGAATGCTACGACACAGTCTTTTGCAGCCAAAACTGCCACGATCTGGCGCAAGAGACCTACCATCCTGCTGTCTGCGAAAAGGATGTCGATGCCATCGCCAAGGATCCCGACGCGTCGGAGGCGGACGAGACCTTGCACCTGCTACTACTCGCCCGCGTCCTGGCTATGTCCAACCACCAAGGCATACATCCGCTGGACGTGACACAGATCAAGTACATATGGGGCGATTTTGTGCCGTCGGCGTCCAACGACATTGAGATATCACCGTTTGCAAACCCGCCGCCCGAATGGACGTTGCCTTTCTCGTTCAAATACAACATCGAGACGCCTTTCCACATCCTCGAGAAGATGGATGTTGACATTTACGCCACTCTCAACGAACACGACTTATGGGTCCTAAACACGCTCTACAGCAAGTTCCGCGGCACGGCGTCGGCACGCAAGAACCCTCGAGACGGTCGGCCGGACGTTGCGGCGGTACATCCTTTCTGGTGCCTGGCCAATCACGACTGCAACCCGAACGTTACATGGGAGTGGGGTGGTCGCATGGTGCTCTGGGCCCGGAAAGAAAAGATCGTGGGCAACGTACCGGGCGGCCTCAAGGCCGGAGACGAGGTGCTGAACCACTACTGCGACGTCACGCTCCCGGTTGAGCAGCGCAGGGAATGGGCCAAGGGAAGTCTCGGTGGATGGTGCATGTGCCAAAGATGTCGAGACGAGGCCGCCGCCGCCGAACAGGCCGCTACCGACGACCAGACTGCCTAGTACCTTTCGACATCGGACGCGAACCCATCACAGAGACGTGCCGCGCACTCTCTGCACTCTCTGCACTTTCCGCCAACGAAACATTCCGCGTTGGGGAAACCCCTTGCGAGTAGCGAGCGATTTACGGGATTAGAGAAACATACCAATCTTAGATATCATGGGAGGTCGGTTTTTTATTTTATTTCTTTCGGGTTGGAGCAACAAAAAATCACAGTTTGCGTCTCTGGGACAGTGGCCTCCGGGTATTCCATTGTACACGAGCGGGCTTGGAGACTTGGCTTGGGAGGCTTTTGGTTGGCAAGGAGGGGGGTTTATTTGGGAAGAGGAAGCATACACGACAACTAAATCGCGAAACATCCTTGATTTTTTACATCACTCGTTTTCATGTGGACGGTTTCTGGGTACGCTCCAGGGATTGCTCTTGCTAACCGGACTCTGTATACCACCGTCAACCCACCCCCCCCCCCCCCCCCCCCCACCGTCACCCAGTTACTCGCCCTCGAGTGTGCCCGTTTGTGCACGCAGTAAGACTGCTCTCGTAGCATTTGGGCTTTTCGATTACCGCAGTCGACTCCGATGGCATGCGATTCGAGTTTGCGACTTTTTGTAAGAGGGGACCATACCCAGCGGCCTTGGTGTCTTGGAACCAATCCTCAGCCCTGATGCTACGTAGAGACTTGCAGCTAGAGACGGCCTGCTAGCCGAGCTGGAATGTGAAGATTGGCACTCTGAGCTCTCTGCTTCCAGCATCGTCTCCTTTCATGGTCTTAGCGGCCAGAAAGCAAGCGGCAGCTCCATGGGCTGGAAACCACGCCCAGGGCGACGCGGCATCCATCAGCCTAGTTTGCGTCAAAAAGCACAGTAGAAATGAGATTGTTAACCAGGCAAAAAAGACTCAAAAGCTTTTTTTCTGCGTCACGAACAAACAGTCATCGATTGATCATGCGAGACACCTTGCCCTCGGTTCACTAACCTAATTGTGGCGGGGAGGGAACATGCCAGGAGGGAGCTTGTGTAGGCCCGATGAGGCGGGCTGCTGGAGTAGAATTTTCCAGTGTGCATACACGCGCAAAACTATACTCCCCTTCTCCCTCTGCATGATGACGGAGTGGTCAAGTCATAAGAACGCTCACGAGAGCTAGGGAGGGAAGGAGCCGACGAGAGAGAGGACAGGCATTGGTTCCCTAGGATTTCGGGATGGGCTTTAAATTAACCATTCGTCCGATCCATGCAAAACTCTTACGATTTTGTACAGTCTTTTGTCCTTGGTCTTTGCGACCTTAGATACCTCCAAGCGGGGTCGGGCATGCACTCAGATTGCGTAGGGTGAAGAGAACCTTGGGGTGGTTCGAAGGGGGCGAGGAATGGATGACGTGCTGCCAGCTGGGTCGGGGTTTCACGACCGACGAATGGAGTCTTGGGAGGTTTAAACTTTCTTTTCTCTAGAGATCTCGATTTAGAGAGTTCTTGGCTCTGAGCACTTGTGGTTGCTGACCCGGCGATAAGGAGGTTGATCGCCCACACCGCCGACTGCTCTCCGCGATGATATCCGCTGCCATCGCTTAGGACGTGTGATTACAACAGCCAGTCTTCCCCTCCCACTGATGGCCAGCCATGCAATGCCTCGCAAGCCCAGTATGCTTCGTGTCCGGCCCCCGTCATAATGATCTCCTACTCAATCCGTCTTGTGTGTGTCTCTATTTGAAGGGGCACCGCGTGTCCAAGCAGATGCTGGCGGTGATACCAGAGCAGTTGAGGTCCGCGGCGCAGCCGACCGACGGCCCGCCGTAGCAGCAGCAGCACTCGGCCTTTGTAGGCGCGCGCTTGTCGAGGTGGCCCTCGCCTCCCGCGTCCGCGCTGGGGGCGGCCGCGGCGATGGCGGCAAGGGCGGCGAAGAGGAGGGGTCCGAGACGCATGTTGGTGTTCGGCGGCGGATTCGATATAGAGCGGGATTTGGTTCCCCGTGCGGTAAGAGACTATAAAGGGGTCTAAACGTCAGGCTGGTGTTGTGACGGCGGCTGTGGATTGCGTGCTCCTGGACATACTGGCTGGTTTATATGCCGTCGCGGTTGACGAGCGGCGCCGGGTCAAGATGGCCGCTGGTTGCGAGAAGGGCATATTGGAGTGCGAGGGGAGTCCGACATGCCTAATTGAGACTCGTCCCTGATAGCCATCTCGTCGTCCAACTGCCAATCCCAACCTAGTCGGCAATCGCGCCAAGGGCGAGGGATCGGGAAGGAATCTAGCAGGAACCGAGTCTCGCCCCGTGGCGGGCCAATTGACTGATGTGCGGCGGCGTGTCACCGAGATTTAAAGCCGCGGGTTTTGCGATGGGATTGCGGCGCAGCTCGCGATGGTTAGGCTAGGTTGCCTTATCGAGTCAACAAGTCTGACTGGGGCAAGTGCCAAGGACGAAGGATCGAGATCCCGCGCGGGGAGGACGCGGATCTTGAAGACGAATGGAGAAGGCGGCTTATGAACTTTGGTGTTGTTATCTTGGGCCTCTTTCTGGGATAGTCTCTATGGCCCAGTTGCGTTTGTTTTTGGTCATGAGGTGAAACTAGACGGTTTCCCGCTGGGTGCTGGTAAGGGGTTGGAGGTTGGAACAATGAGCGGGAAGTTTGAGAGAGACGGGTTGGCGGTGAGCGTGGTGCGAAAGTTGCTCTTCCGATGCTGGGCTGAGGTCGATGAGACCCTGTCAACTACAGTTGATAGAGTTGTGAACTTGTGCTGAACGACAACTACAGCAGTTGTCATAGTCTCGGCGGATGGTAACCTAGCTTCGGAGTCGTGTCCGGGTCCCGACTACACGTGGCCATAGCATCAATGGCGGCGTCGGAGCTACGGCCGCGTCCCCGAAACAGCGTACTAGGCCGTAACGAGAGTTGGCAAGCCAGGAGCCGCGTCCCGTGTCCCGGATTCGATGGCTCTCAGATTATATTTGGGTTAGTGGTGTTAACGTTCCCCTAGCTTCACGCTCACTTGGGACGGAGATGGCAACATCGGAGCATAGGCCGTCTCCCCGAGGTGGGATACTCGGCTGGAACGAAAGATTGAGAGACCGGAGCGACGTCCGATACCGCAGGGTCTGGGCTTCGGCCGCGATGGGGATGGGACCGTCGGGGTCAAGTCCGACTCCCCGGCTGGTGTTCGTGTAAAGTCCTATAGCAGTCAGATGCATAAAGTTAGGGTTGAGTCCGACTCGTCTCTTTGTTGATTAAAGAGGCAAAGACGGTTGCTGGACATGGAGACCAACGGCCCGGTGCCGGACGGGCTCGCTGCATAACCTGCAGGCCTAGTCTGCCATACATTTCCAAAGTGTCCGTGCCATACTTCCGGGCACTGAGCTGCTGTCGTCAGGCGATCTCTATTCTTAGATATCTGGTCTAAGTTTTCGACTCGACCGGTTCCGAACAAAATAATCAACGTAGGACCATTACAGCGATATGCTTTGAGAATGGTTATTTTATTTTCGAGGGAAAAGAGGAGTCTGGATGTTTAGTGATAACGTCTCCGTCACAGCTCATCGTGCGCCTTGGCCTTCTTCTCCCCGGTCTCTGGAGCCTCGGTCTTCTCCTCCTCCTGAACTACCTCCTGCTTCTTTCCCACACTCTCCTTTGGCACTTCCGGCTCACCTGCCTGCGACGGGACCTCCTCCTCGACATCCTCCTCTGAAGCCGGCGAGCCCACCTGCCAAGCATCGGCGTTCCCCTCGGAGATGTCGACGATGAGCTGTTCTACAGCCTCCACCGTGACCTTCTCCCCCTTGAAAGGGAATGCCAGGCCGACGGCCGGGTTTTGTACAGCGACACCCTCGCTCGCGTCTGCCGGCAGGCCAAAAAGGGCCGGCATTTCCGGATACTCGCCGAGGTCGACCGTCACGAAGGTGATGTATTGATGGTACTTGCGCGCCAGGGGCTTGATGGCGGATGTCCACGCGTCCAGGCTCTCCTCGCTCTTCGAGAAGAAGTAGGTCAGCGACTTGCCGGTCTATACCTCTCAATGTCAGCAATGCCGCAACACAAGATTAGCTGGGGGAAGGAGATCACGAACGCTCAGATGCTCTGCCTCGTTGCGGCGCGTCAACCGCGGCACGAGCTGCGAGGCGCACTTGCGCAGCAGATTCTCCATGGCGTCGACGTCGTCCAGCTCCGAGGTCATGTGGTACGCCCCATCGGCATTGTTATAGCACCCGATCCGGCCCGGCGTCTCGTCGACCGTCGCCAGCCCGAACGCGTGGCGGTCCCGGTACCGCTCGGCCAGATCTGCAAAGCGCTCGCGCAGGTTCGTCTCTGACTCGGCCATGTGCGCGATCATGACAACCTCGTCGTTGTCACGGAAGGAGGTCACAGATTTCTTGTCGAGGGGAGTCACGGCGGGGCGGAGCATGCGGCGGACAAAGGCGGTGATTCTGGAGGAGTATGGTGTTCAGCAAAGGATGATAGACGCGGCCAGTGGAGCAAGAGACATACTCGGACGCCTTTCTAGGACCGCGGAAGTGGTGTTTCGTGCCGTCTTGGCGATACAGTCGGATGGCGGGGAATGAGACGACGTCGAGATCGGCGCATAGCGAAGGAGAGGCCAGGCAGTCGACGGACAAGGCACTCGGGATCTCTTCCTCGACGGCGGACCAGTGCTGCTCGAGGGCTTTGCTTGCGTCGCTGTGGCGGGGTTAATGGATGTCGTCGCAGATGTGAGGGGTGGTGTACGTTGAGGGCTTGGTTCGTCAGCACCAAGCTAACATGCTATGACAACATCTGATCTTTCGATATTCTTGACGATCGGCTCATCTTATTGCAAAGGGGCTTACCGCAACAACTATTCACGTCGTTAGCACATTTGAGAAGGATGGTATAAGCTGACGATATGTGGAGTTACTAACACGCTACCAAGCTAAAATCGTTGGACTTGAGGGCATCGCGGACTTCAGCCTCAGTCTTGTGCTGCCATGCAAACCCCGCGCCCGCAAGCGCCAGCAGCGGCAGGAGAGTCTTGAACGACATTCTGGAAATGCGATCTACGTGGTTCGAACTCCAGACAGCGATTGAACATCAGCGGAATAAAACAAGAGAAGAGAAGCAAACACGGGGAAAAGAAAAAAGGAGGAAACGGTTGGCGCAAATTGTCAAGCTCCGCGTCGGGGGTAAGCTCCCCAGGTAAGGAATTGAGTTGGAGTTGACTCGCCGCGGCGGGGTGTCCCTGATGGGATGGAGACCTGCTGATTGGTGCAACTTCGGAGAGCGCGGCCGAGACTCCTGAAACGGCGGGAGGGCAGGGGTCTTTATGAGCACGCCGTTTGATCGTCGGCGAAGGTGGGACTGATGGGGCCATGGGAGTGGTGACATAACTAACTATACATGTTGGACAGACTGCAACACCACCAAATATACTCACGATGGAGACAAGCTGTATTCTTGTTGAAGAAAACGCGTCTTGTCATTTTTTACTATTTTTTGTTTTGGTCTTTCCAAAGTCCAGAAGTACGAAGTTGACTCCTGACCTAAAATGCCTCCCAAAGGCAAGGCGAATGTGCGTGCGGTTATCGCCCCGTCTTTCATCCTTTGCGCGGGTTTCAACGGAAATCAGAAAGCCGAGTCCCAATTGATTGTACCAACGTATGAGCTCTGTAGCCAGTTAAAAGCATATAATGAGCAGAGTGAACTTTAGTATCATGCCGATGTCGAGTAGAATTATGTACTAGGGCAGGACTGCAGAGTGAACAAGATAGCAGGTAGAATTAAAGCCACGTAGTTAGTTTGAGATCAGTCTACGGAACGCAGTGGCTAGCGGAAGAACCTTGTTGAAGAGACAGAAAACCCAACTGAATCTATATTTAAGAGGAGAATAAACATAGGCTCATTTGATCGAGACGGAATGACATAAAATTTGAAGGTGTATCTTCACCTCAACTTGCTACTAGGAAAGCCTTGAAGAGCGCTACCCTTCGTCACGCCCTATTGGTGTTCGGCTCCAGTCGTCATGCCTGCATTTCATGCTTTCTGAAGGGCGAAAGTATTGGCAAAGGAGAGTGATTGTAGACTCAGCGCAACAAGCCTTTCAACAGAATGGGAATGATGAGTAGGTGTGGGAATATTTGAATCTGTTTTGGTCCGATTGCTTTATCCAATCCTCCGTTTCCTACTCGAGCGCAGACACTTGAGAGGGTATGTCTAAAACCAATATGTCGTTGATGACATATGCAACAATCGAAGCGGATGAGAGTGTGCACGGACCCGATACCATCTTAGTCATGGAGCACTGAGCGCCATCAACGTTCACCCAAACACAAAAGATGCATGAAAACCACGATGAGTTCTCGACCCTTTGCTTGTACGGAGTGCTCTCAGACGTTCACTAGAAACGTAGGTTATTTTTTCCAAAGGCCTGAAAGTGTACTGATTTTCGGCTCAGGAAAACTTAGCACGGCACAAACGGTCAAGTAGGCTTCGTTCCCACCCTTCCGAGCTGCTCATCTGCTATGCTCACACTTTCCAGGACATGGAAGTGATAGCCGAAGGCCTTTCAGATGCCAAAATTGCAAGGCCAGGTTTACCAGGAAAGATGTCTGCAAACGCCATGCCGAGAGATGTCGAGGCACATTCAGCCGCGTCTTGACCATCCCCAGCATCGATGATGAAACAGAACAATCAGTACCGGGCCTCGAGGAAACCTCTTTGTCGCCAGTCGAAGATGATGAGTCGCTCACTTCCAACTTTCAAATCGGCACCTCAGCCCCAGAAAATGGAGAAATATATCCTCAAAATCCACCAGAAACCGCAGAAGATCGTCTTGCTGAAGAGCTGGCTGTGGTTGAGTGAGTCCATTTGAACTCATCAGTGTCTGGCACCACTGTTGTGTGCTATCTGAAGCTTACAAAAGTCAAATCTAGGTCGATGATGCGTGACTCAGAAACTTACATCACAGCGTACTTTGAGGGATTTCATCCGTCGTTCCCACTACTACATCGGCAAAATTTAGGTGGTGAAGCCACAAAGCTGTTGAAGCAGATCGTCGTTTCGATTGGCATGCTGTATGCTTCCCGAACCTTGTCTGAAGGTGATATAGCGTCTTTGTCACAGAAGAGTCAAACGTTATGGCAAGCTGGTTATGAAGAACTCTGGCGACTGGTAGGCTTATAGCTGATCATACTATTCCGATTGATGCTAAATGGACTAGGTAGAGTCTGACTGGAGGGAGATACGAAGGACGTGGGTCATGCAAGCATGGCTCTTACACATTATCTATGGTGCATTTACAGGCAATGCCGCCCAATTCGATAAGTCAAAGAAGATGCTGCGCTGGGTCGTTGATGTCAGTGTGCCCCTACATGTCAAACTCGTTTTGTGCTTCATTAACTTGTCTCCCATAGGCCGCTCGGGATCTCGGGCTTTTACGGCAGACTGTTTTCGCGTCCACATCCAGATTCAAAGACAATGAAGAGCAGACGCTTCACGATCACTGGACGGCGTACGTGGAATCAGAGTCAATGAAACTCTCCATGTATACACTGCTTTTTCTCGACTGTCACATCTTCTCCCCTTGTAACATTCGTCCACTAACCACACCCACTGAGCTTGATTGGGAGCTACCCCTTGCCACCTCGTTATGGGAGGCGGATACCTCCCTGGCATGGGCCCAACGTCTCGGTGACGAACCCCGAACCGTTGGTCTCGCTCGATCTCACGAAACCCCCGGGATGACTTGTCCTACAACCAAGTCATTGAACTTGGCAATGCAGTCACTCATGACGGACACGCCGAGCCTGCAGCTTCTAGCGGCACTAAGAGCATCCCCGATGGCAACTCTCTTTGTCCTCACCAGCCTTGACTCTCTTGTCAGGGATTTCACACGCTGCTACTATCAATTACCACCAGCTTTAGCGGACCCGAATGCATTTCACATCCTGACACAAGCTCAGAACAGACAAGTCAGTGCCGCCTTGCGATATCTCTCAGAGTCAATTGCTGCACAAATCTCTACGGCAGACAACTCGAACTGGCATATCTTGAAATTTGCAGAGCGCATAGCACTATCCGTCAAGCTTGCTTTGTGCAAGCCAGATGATCTGTTGATTGGTGGCATCGTGGAAAACAGTGTCGTCGCCGGTCTTACCACAGCAACACATCTCACAATGGGGCTTCAAGTTGGAGCACGAAGATCGTTACAGAACCTACTCAGATACAACTCCGGGGACGACGGAATGTTGGTGTTCCTCGACGATCTGATGGATGTGCTTTCAAGTGTCGCAAGCCTGGACAGGCAAGATCCGTTGCGTGAGGCACCTTGGGCCACAGTTGCTACATACAAGATCCTCCTTGCCATCTGGAGGTTACTACGTTGGGCGGCAGGAGAAACGCGCCGGAAAGCCGGTTCACAGTCAACCGTCCGAGCCCGCTATGAGGCCTCAGCGATAGTGTTCAATTCCATACTGGAAGTCTTGCAACAACAGGAGGAAGTCGACGGCCAAACTCGGCGTCTCTCGGTTCGGGAGTCTACCGCATTGGGCATGGCACCGGAGGCGAGCGAGGTGCGCTTCATGGAGACGGTACTACAATTCTGGAAGGACAGGCCGGTATGGTCCATGGGATCCTTCATGACGACGGTCTTGGAGGAGATCGTTTCGGCTGGCGGTTTAGCTTACGAGTAAGGGGGTGCTGACTAGCGCGCGGCGAGGAGGCCGCTGCCGAAGGAACAGGGGCCAGCGGAGCTCCGCCGCCGCCGCCACAATACCTCAACCTGTATATCTTTACCACAAAATACACCATGTAGCTTGGGATAACGTGTTGCAGTCCGAAGTTGCCGATTTGTTTCATTGTGTTATCGGGACCTGCCAGTGGTTGGCATCTCGTTCTACCTTGCAATCATTTTTCCATATTCCAAAAGAAAGACCACTACTTGGCACGTGAGATGGCGGCCGCAGAAAGTTTTGGCTGGGTATTGCCTACTCTCCTGGCTCTTATCTTTGCTCCCTGCTTACTCTTGCTTTAGTATGGCCTAGGTTCGATGGGTGTTGGCATGGCGTTGAACCTACAGAAGCACCTTGTATCCAATGGTCTGAAGCCTCTTCGGTACAGCAACCGGACAATTTCCCGGGGCGACATTATACGGGAAGCCGGAGGACTTCCAGAGCGGGACTTTGAGACTTTGGTCCTCAAGTCGACAGTCATCTTTACGATGGTTCGTGTTGGCCACTCTCATGACAATTGTAGTGACAGCCTGGGAAAACGACAATTAACCTTGATAGATTTCAAATGACGAGGTACTTGAGAGTCTCGTTTCGAAAGCCCTGGATACATGGAGCGGCGCTCTGCTCGAAGGGAAGGTCTGGGTCGACACATCAACTGTTCATCCTGACACTGTCGCAAGGTGCTCTGAACGCCTCGCTAAAGCAGGCGCTACATTTATTGCTTCCCCTGTTTTTGGCGCTAGCCCCATGGCGGATGCCGGCAAACTCATCTTCGCCATGGCCGGACCCTCTGCAGCTATCGAGAGACTGAGACCCTACATTATTGATGTCATGGGTAGAAGTATCATTGACATGGGTGAAGATGTCCGCAAGTCAAGCTTGCTTAAAATATCAGGGTAGGCTCTACCCTATCGGATCTATCCAATCTTATCCGAGACTAGGTATCATGCTGACTTTGCTCCTTGACAGGAACATCTTTGTTATTGGCTTTCAGGAACTGACTGCAGAGGCTCAGGTCTTTGCAGAAAAGACGGGGCTTGGGACCCGCCAGATGGAGCAATTCATTAGTGATATGTACGGACCGGTCATCGAGAGCTACTCGAAGCGGATGACAACGGGCGCCTATGCGCCACCTCTGGGAACTCCTCCGGGCTTTGCAGTCTCTCTCGCAGCGAAGGATGCAGGGTATGCGATCAAGATTGCAGAGAAACATGGCACGCGGGTCCCAACCATTGAAACAGCTTTAGCCCGCATGGAGGCAGCTAGAAAGTTTGCAGGAGAGTCATTGGATAGTTCATCGATATATGGATCAGCCCGATTGGAGGCTGGGTTGCCATTTTGGAACGAGAACAGTAGACAGTCTAACTAAATGAACCAAGAGGCTCCCGGGTACTCATGCGCACGAACAATCTCATCTGCACCACAACTTTGATATGTAAGTTACGCAAGTGATAAAGAAGCATTCGACATGCTCTCCGAGGGAAGCTTCATAGCTGCAAAGCTACAGGGACTGAACAGAAGTGAAAGTAGTATACGCATCATAACCAAAGTTATAATTATAAACCAAAGTTCAAGACTCGAGCGAAAGTGTGTATCTGTAGTCTGTGGGAGCTACCTTGCAGCATTGAATCCGGGGTGAAGGGAACGGGGCTCCACCGGCAGATCCATCCAGCTGGACTACCATCCTGTTATCTGGCATGATGTGGAAGAGTGTATTGGCTTGCAGTAGGAAGACTCGGAGATAACGGCAACGGCACTCAGCCAGGAAAGGGGTGTCTTCATCCCAGCGTACCCCAAGATTGCGGAATGTCTCCTAGGCCAAACCTCAAAATGCGGGGGCGGAGCTCCGTTGGCGTGCATGAGCCCAGGGTGGATCTGAGATAGCAGTATGACTGAGTTTGACGTGGAATCCCCTATCTCAGCGATAACCAGCCAAGCCACTTTGTCACCAGAACAGCCTGTTTGCGACCATATCGAAGGGCCCCTTGCCGATGGAACCAAGGTCAACTATAACCAAGATGATTAAGGCCATGAATTGCGAACGTATACTGCGCACCATGAAACACGTATAAACTCCTAGTGTCCCCGCGAGTTCTTGATACTGTGCAAGTCTTCCACAAACATCACTCTGGAGTTGTTGACCTGAGCTACTTCGATAATCTTCCTTGAATGAAAATCTTCAATCTGAATTTTCTCGTTTTAATCCTGTCTCCGAGTTTACGAGCATAAGGCGTGACGCATGTTCAGCTAGTCAGTCGACACTCTTCAACAACAATCCGTTACATTCGTCTTTCAACCATCGATGTCAACAATGACTTCAGACACCAACAAGAAGACAACTCAGCAGGATGGTGGAGATGTCATTCGAACACAGACCGACTTCGAAGACGGCAGCATGGAGAAGCTCAAGCATGGAGACGTTGATCCTGCTCTCGCCTTCGTCAATGGAGAAGAGGTCACATTCACTCCCGAGGAGGAAAGAAAGGTTCTATGGAAGATTGACAGAGCCATTCTGCCACTTCTGATGTGGATTTATGCTCTTCAGTTCGCCGACAAGACGTCTCTAAACTACGCTTCCCTAATGGGCATTCGCGAGGATACCAAACTAGACCCGAAAAGTCAACAATACAGCTGGGCCTCTAGTATCTTCTATGCCGGTTACCTCCTATGGGAGTAAGTTGCATACAATGAATGCTCGCCCGGCATCATTCCATACTGACCGCGCCAAGGTTCCCCACGACTTATCTCCTCAGACGTCTACCTCTCGGAAAGTACACATCGGCCAACATTATCCTCTGGGGCGTCGTCCTGATCTGCCACGTTTTCGCTTTCAATTACGCCGGTCTCCTCTCGGTCCGCTTCTTTCTCGGTGCCCTCGAAGCCACCGTGACGCCCGCATTCGTCATCCTGACTTCCGCCTGGTACAAACAGAACGAGCAGGCTAAACGAATGGGCTACTGGCTCAGCTGTAACGGTGTCGCTCTTCTGACAATCGGCCCTATTGCCTATGGCCTTTCTGGTGCACACAATACTGTTCTGGCAACTTGGAAAGTATTGTATCTCGTTCTAGGCTTACCCACTGTCATTACTGGTGTCTACTGCTGGTGGTTCATGCCTGATAACCAGACCAACGCCAAGTTTCTCAACCACCGGGAGAAGTCCATCGCTATTGAGCGTATCCGCGGCAATTTCCAGGGAATCGGAAGCCGCCAGTGGAAGTGGGACCAGTTCTTCGAGGCCTTCAAAGACCCTCGCACATATCTCTATGTACTCTTCTCCCTGCTGATGAATATTCCCAACGGTGGCATCACTGCCTTCGGCTCTATCATTATCAACTCTTTCGGCTTCAACTCTCGTCTGTCACTGCTTCTCAACATGCCTACGGGGGTGGTGGACATCACCTGTAAGCTTCTCTTCACATACCTCTCGGACAAGTTTATGGACCGCTCTCTTTTTGCCTTCATTGCAATCCTCATCCCGATGATTGGCGGCATCATGATGATCGTCATCCCTCTTTCCGCACAAGCTGCTTTGCTTGTGGGTTACTACCTTATCGGCGCCGCGGGTGCCTCGTGGTGTCTTGTCATGGTCATGATCTCAAACAACACCCTCGGATACACGAAGAAGGCTACTGTCAATGGTCTTCAGATCCTTGCCTATGGTGCCGGTAACTGGATTGGACCGCAGACATTCCGCTCGAATGAGGCGCCAAACTACCACAACGGCAAGCTCATGGTAGCCATCATGTACGGACTTGCTGGCTGTACTATAGTTGCCATCAGAGTTGTCAACATTTGGGAGAACAAGCGTCGGGATAAGAAGGCGGCCGAGGAGCCTGAGGTTGTTACGGCTGGAACTGAGTTCTTAGATTTGACAGACTTTGAGCAGCCTAACTTCCGTTACGTGCTTTGATTGTAAGGCCTCTACACGATTGAGAAGCAAACTTTCTGGCAACTTGATTTTCTGGGCAGAAAACGAAAACTATGGGTTGATTGTACATCGCAGTTTAATAAGAGAATTTGAATGAGTACGAACTACGTTTCCAAATCTGAAGCAACACGAAGAGACGTATCACCCTATCATGTTGCGATGATATACGTCCCAGAACAGGATTATTATTAAGCATGTCAAGCGTAATAAGCCTTGTGAAATTCAAGTCACAGTATGCTGCGAAGTGGCTTAAAGACTAGTTTGAGAGGGGACATATCGAAGGACCTGGGGGCGAATTTGACCTTGCGGCTTCGTCCTGAGTTCAGCGTGCACACGCCCATGCTGCTTTTTGGGCCTTTTTGCAAGAGTTAATTCCTAGAAACCGGCGACTCAAAAACCATACCAAGTTTGAGAGAAGAGTTTATAGGAGCCTTTTGTACAGGCCAAAACGTGAGCGCAAGGTAAACCAATGTGGCGAGGAAATCTCTCGATATACAGCGGCCAAAAAAAGGAGGGCAAAATCGCAGCAGAAATTGCAGTTCTCTAACTTCTGGTATTTGCATCACTACACCAATAACTCTGTATGTATACATTATGAGGCATCATTTCATGGAAAAAAAGAGAGAAAATCGTAGTACAGAAACGAGCTGGCACTCTATGACACATCTATTTGTTCATGAGAAACTCTTCGAAATCCTCATCAGGCAACACAGGCTGCTCATCAACTCCATCAAGTAGACCTAAGTACCAGGACAAATCCCGTCCATCTGTTTCACGCTGCGCAAAGCCATTGCCCCAGTATCCAAAACGGTTGCTCGTCGTGTACTTCAAGTCATAGTCTTCCCAACGAGGTGTGGCAATCGTCTCAAAGAACTGGATTCGCGAGCCGGGCCACATCATAGGCTCGCCATCCACGGTACCCTGCTTGAACCACGAACGACATGGTGACGTCCACGCGGTGCGCGGCAGGAATTGCCGGCGATGCTCGACGAAATCATTGACGGCCTCCTGCTTCGGACAGAAGGACGCGATCTCTTCCTCTGACATCTTGTGCAGCATCTGCATCACATATCTTGCCACTGTCTCAGTGATGGGAAGGAAACTTCCGTGGCCATAGGGCCCAAACGGGCCGTTGAAGACTTTGATTAACGAGTTAGTATGCAGATCTTTGTCAGTTGAGCATGTTACGGATGTGACTCACTAATGTAGTTCGGCATGTTGGCAACCGTCAAGGAGAGGTAAGTATTGGGAACGTCCTTCCAGTATTCGCTCAGGCTGACGCCGCTGCGTCCGATTGTGGGGTAATGCGGCCTCCAGCTGACGTCGAAGCCAGTAGCGCAAACGATGATGTCGAACTCGTGCTCCTTTCCATCCGCCGTCCTGATTCCCTTGGGAGTAATTTCCTGGATACTTGAGGAGATAACAGTTACGTTGTCTTCACAAAGGGCCTCAAGGTAACCATTTCCAGGGGTCGGTCTTCGGCAACCGACAGCGAAGTTTTTGGGGATAATGAGATCTTGGAGGTCCGGCCTGCCTGCAAGCTTGCTGCGCATGTCCTTCTCCGCAAACTGATGATGTGTAAGGACGTATTGCATGATTCATTGTGGCGGTAAGCACTTACAGCCTTGGCATCCGCCTGCTCTTTGGATCCGTTCAGAATGAAGCGGAATCGGGAGTTCAGCTCAGACTCGATCTTTTTCCTGTATGCAAGATACTTCTTTGGGTCTTTCCTAAGGATTTCGTGCTGTTCTTCGCTATCTGTTATCACGCCATGTCAGTGGGTGTTCATGCTTGAGTCCGGTAGCACAACTTACACTCAAAGTTGCTGCCGTTCTTTCCAGCAAAGCGTTGACCAAAGCCACCTACCACCCATGAAGAACTTCGAATAAAACAGCTCATGCTTCCCACGACTTTGGAATGTTAATGCTGTTATTCCTGCAGAGATCGAATGGTGAAACTCACTGGGCTGGATGTTTGGGACAATCTGGACTGCCGAAGAGCCAGAGCCAATCATTCCAACTCTCTTGCCCCTGAGGTCAATGCTGTTGTCCCAGTTGGCACTATGGAGCATCGTCCCCTTGAAAGTCTCCTTGCCCTTAATAGCAGGCCACTTCCACTTGCTGAAGGTTGTGCGTTAGTTAATAACACGCAAGAGTGTTTGCAGACCCTACTAACTTGAGAACACCGCTCGCATTGACGAAAATGTCGGCTGTATCTTCGAACGTGGTACCGTCTTGCTTCTGCACCTGGATATGCCATTTCTGCTTTCCCTCGTCCCAGAAAGCTCCCGTAACAGTGCTGTTCAGGCGAATGTACTTGTTCAAGTCGTATCTCTCTGCAACATCCTTGAAGTACTGCAAAATCTCAGGTGCACTCGAGTAGCTTCATAAAGGATTTCTTGGTCAGCGTTAATTTAAGTGGGCCAACGATCCTGTTCGACTCACAATTTCGACCATTCTGGAGACGGTGCCCAAGAGAACTGGTAGTTGACCGACGGGATATCGCACCCGCAACCGGGGTAACGGTTCTCGTACCAGGTGCCGCCGATGGAAGGGTTCTTCTCGTAGCAGACGAGCTCCAACTCGAGGGTCTTGCAGGTGTCGATCTCATGAGCCAAGTTCAGAGCGCTGGCGCCGCCCCCAAGGCACACGATGCGGAGCTTTCTTCCGCTGCGGCTCGGTTTCTCCAAGATCTGGTATTCCGTCTTGGACGGGGGTACGGAGAGAGAACCCATGTTTGCGCTCCGATAAGAAGAAGTGGGTCGGTATGTGGACTGATAGTCTGGAGCCTTGGGAATTGATGCAAGGAGGGTTATAAGAGATGGTGAATTGATGAAGGGCAAAACAGAAAGAAGCGATACCAAGGGACATGAATCTAAAAGGCCTCTGTACACAAGATTCAGTTATACTTGGGCTCATGCTTTTATGTAGCATCTATAAGTTTCGCAATGAATCCAACAATTACGTGAATAATCACGTACTGAGGTTCAACGCCTCCACAAACCCAGCGGAGCCCCGCTCACTAACGCGCCATCATGATTGTGGGTTGTGGTTGCGGCACCATGCCCCTCTCCAAATCGCGTCCTTGTTACCCGCGGCATTCACTCCGCCGCCACCTCCGCCTCCGCCTCCGCTGGAAGCTCCCTCATCCTTCCTATACATGTCGTCGGCGCTCGTGATCAGTTACTTGTTATTTATGGGCGGTTAATGTTAATAAAAATAAGACAGTTATGCTGAAATAGAGGCTGAAGGCGTTGGGATTGAAGTTCAACCTGCATGAATCGCTTTTGATAAATCCACACACGGAACAGGTGGAAGAACTTTAATTGAGAGGTACAGCATTTTTACTCAGCTCGACGCTTTTCTGTGGCCTCGTGTGTTTTCTACAAAACCTAAAATCAGTTTGGATGGGTCATTTTTGGAGGCCGTAACCCCCGTGTATCCGGGCTATCATTGTTGGCTGTAACATCAGCTGCGACGTTTACATTACATATTGTGCCTTTGAAACTGCACATAGAAGGATCTACATTGCTTTTGACTATGAAGCAGCAAAAGAAAAGCTACACAACTTCCCTGCAGCTCGGTCTCTAAAGTTCTCCATCTCGCACTTCCAAGTCTTGTGACTGGCCAGGATGATCCGTCAGCGAGCGCCTTCCGCAGCTGGATGACATTATAGAGAACCATTACCCAACCCGGGTATTGTTAAAGTGGGACAATCTTTTCACCAGACTCTGTTTTAACGCCACAGCTTGATGGTTAGGCCCTGTGATTCTCCAAATCTTGTATTTCGCACATGACTATGAATCATCTTTCACCAACAAACTTCAGATGTCATTGAGCGAATGTAATTATTTGTATCTCAAGTCATACAACCAAATTACTGGCCAGACAAAACGGCCTCAACAGCTGTCAAAAGGCAAGCTTCCAACCCACCAATCAAGGCTTGATCATAGTATCCCAGGGTCCGTTTTCTTGACCTCCCCGCAAGCCCCCTTACACGCGACGTCGCCTAATCCCTATCCATCAACCTCCGCCACTCCACCGGCTGACCCATAGTTTGGCAAGTACGACATATTAAACTGGAAAGGACACTTGATCATGGTACAGAAGCACCCGCTCCCCTTGGGAATCGCCTTGCAACGCATCGCAGGCACACTGATGTCACAGCAGCAGCATTGCTCCTGCGTCTTGGGGTCGTGTGGGCACGCGATGGCCGGCACGGCACAGACACCGGCTGGGGGCACGCGGCAGATGTAGTTGGGTCCTCGGTTCTCGAGGTCACATGAGCAGCAGTCGGCCTTGGGCTCGTCGGGAGTCGTCTCGCGAGGCGCGAGGGCGTGTGGGGACGCCGGGGTTGCGTTGACGGCAGAGAGAGTGCCGATGAGGGCAAGGAGGAGGGTTTGGGTGTTGATTTGCATTTTGTTTTGGTATTGGGGGTTTGAGATGTGTAAGAGGAGATTGTGCTCTGCTTTAATTATTGCAGTCTATATGCGGTTGCAGGTTCAGAATTATGTGTTGTTGACTGTTACTTCGATGCGAATTCGAGTCTATGGTTATCGCTCTTTGACGCTTTATATAGTTCTCAGCAGTGTAGTTGTACTCCTTGTCCCTATGTTCGTGAATAGGCAGGCTTCCCGACAACGATGACAACATCGTACCTAGTCCTCCAACTCCAACACTACTAGCCGAGGGCAACTAGTCAACCACCCTTCACGTAGACTCGTCACGAAGGGGGATGCTCGCTAGAGAGAGACACGAACTTCTCTAGACAGAACCCAGAAGCCGCCAATCGCGCCACGGCGAGTTTGCTCCTCGTCTGATAAAAGCGTCCCAAAAGGGAAACAGTTTGAATCAACGGGGCGTTGTCGTCGATCACCCGCGTGCAACTGACAAGACGAACATTCCCGGGTTAGCAGAGAGGGATCGTCGAACGCTTACTTCCTTGGCTCTTATTCCCCCTCCGCTCCGCCGTCTAAGACATTGAAAGTTCTTCCAACGCAGCATAGTGATCAGTAAGCAGAACATTGGACCTCTTTTCCCAATGTTCACGGGCAAGAAAGGGGATCTCTGGAAATACCTTCTCAACATTGGAGCTCCCGTTGAGATACATAACTCTACTCACAGAAACCACACGGTTTCCCAGAAACTCACCATTTCAAAAAAACAAACACGATTCCCTGCATTGTGTTTGTGTATCCCACCTTGTCCGCATGACCCTTCGTTCCCTCCAGAGGAAGGGCCGAACACAGTGCTCACATGTCTCACTGGGCCGCGTTCCGTCATTGGATGGCTTCGTGAAGAGAAAGCGCTTGTATCAATGAGGCAGTATGCTGTAATTCGTCTCGCCAAGAAGAGAGGATGGCGTCTTCATTTCGGGCTGCCGTCCTTCTCACCGGCTGAACAAGACACACGTCAGCTGAGGTCTCGGCCGGGCGGGCCCGCTCCTACGTTCCTGTCAACAACCATTGCTGTTTTTGCACATAGCTTGTTCTTTCGCGCCCGAGATAGCAAGGCGTCGGCAAGGGACCCTGAGTCTAGTTCTCGCCCGGCTAGACAGGCTTCAGCGGGAGAGACGTGCAAACATTCCATGGCCTCGGGAAGCGTAGAGAAGATGCGAACTTGGGGAGTCAATGACGGAAGACCCTGACAAGGAACCCGGGATTATTTTTGGGATACGGCGTCCTGGGCAGACGTTACAATGACGCCCGTCACCCCCGGATCCGTCGATTTTGAAGAGTACAGGTTTGTTCACCCGCCAAAGCACCGGGCACGGGGATCTCGGTTCGGACCCCCATGCGCCCTGCCTGCTCGGCGTGCCTAATGTATTAGGGTCTCCTTCACCCGAAAGACATGTTTCTATTCTTGGACACAAGCCGGACATGGACAGTTCGTCCAAGCTGGGATCTAACTTTTTTTTCGTGAAGTGTAGTCAAGGGGCCACAATGAGGTTCGTGACGCTGACCAACTTATAAGCAGCCCGAGCGGCGAAAGCGACACCGAGATGGCCACGGGGTCGCTCTCGCGTTGGCGGCGGGACATTCGCCGGACGGGGTGTATGGTGGCTGTGCAAGAGATTGGCATGACAGGTAGACATTGGATTAATTAATCACGGTCAATTTCGCAGGTTTGAGATTCACGCTTTGCCAAGAGAATGCCAAGAGATCAGAGTTTGGAAGCGCAATAAGCATTCATTTCGACCCTGGAGTTCAGGCCAAGGAGACTACATAGGTGGCGAAGCAACATGATTTGTGGTTGTTCATGGTTTTCATGATCTCGTTTCCCATTCCGTTGATTTCCGTTTGATGATCCGCGCAAAACCCGTTGTGTGAGAAAGAAAGAAAAGATAATGTGTTTCGCACCAAAGTATTCGTGCTTTGACGACTCGCAAAGCCCTCCCGAATGATAAAACTCTCCCTCTTCCGTTGACATGAAAATGTGGATAAAATCAAAAGTGTTTGTTAAGGAATCGAGGGAGTATGTCCATTCCCCGTCATCCATCCATCTGCGTTGTGTTGGGAGACTGCGTGATCAATCCGACTTCCCCTTTCCACTTCCACCGACCAGGGTATGTAACGTAACAAAGAGGCTTCGACAGGTTTGGGAGGTTTTTTGCCGGAAGTGTTGTGGTAAATAAAAAAGAATGCAGTAGAATCAAATACGAACCGGGTTTCTGAACCGGTCACACAATTTCCCTCGTTTCGTGAGAAAACTTTTGTGAAAAAAACACGCTTGTAGGACATCTGTTGGTACACGCGCCTAAGGGGCCTCTTCTTTCTTCATTGCAGAAAGCCTCTTCAGTTCGGCATACGCAGGACGGGGTAGAGCGGCGCTGCCGGGCTGGGCTTGGCATCAACCTCCATCGGCTCGGGAGACTTGAGGCGGCTGGCCACGGGAGACTTGGACCCTTGCTCGGCGGGCTCCTCGGAGTACTCTCTGCGGTCGATGCGGTCGCGGATGTACTCACGGAGGGCCTCGATGGTACGCATGTTCTCGAGCCACTGGTCGTACTTCTCCTCGCGCTCGCGGGCACCCTCGCTCATGTCGGACTCGGAAGAGGGAGAGCCGACGGATGAAGCGATGGACTCGGCCTTGGGAGTGGTGACGCCGGAGGAGTCCTCCAAGATGAGGGGAGACTTGGGCGACGAGGGGCGGCGCGCTGGAGCATGCCTCCAGAGTAGCGTCTGCGCTCGTTGCTGTCGAAGCTGGGGCCGAGAGTGGATGCGGTTGACTGGCCGGGGAAGACGGAGCTGACAGCGGGGAGGTTGGGGTACATAACTGAAGAGGCGGTTGAGGAGTGTCTCGACTGAGGAGACATACCGGAAGAAGAGGGGCTGGGCGAGTGACCAGAGGTGTAGGACATGGTGCTCGAGGGAGGTGTGACGGCGGGGGTCCCAGTCGAGGAAACGGCGGTGAGTGGCGACGCCATGTGAGCAGCGGACACGGCGTGGTAGCCGTCCTGGGAGACCGACATGCCGGCGTGGGAGCCGCGGTGGCCGCCCGGGGGCGAGGGGCTGTGGCGGAGGTCGAACGTGTTCTGGCCGTGGATGTGGATGCCCTGGGTGGCCTGGTTCGCGTTCTCATAGACGGTGCTCTGCATCTGCTCGAGGATCTGGTCGATCTGGACCAGGTCGTTCTTGGTGCGGGCATTGGGCATAGGCGGCAAGTAGTACTGCTGAGTGAGGGGACCGGGGCCGGAGGGAGGGCCCTGGACGTGCTGCTGGACGTGGTGCTGGGGCTGGGCGGCCATGTAGTCGGAGCCGGGCATGGGGCCGGTGTGCAGGCCGAGGGCGCCGTGAAGCGGGAGAAGGGATCGGCCGACTTGCTGGTAGGAGGTAGGGTCGACCTGGCGGCGCTTGGCGTGGGCGAAGAAGTCGTCGACCATGTCGAAGGCGCGTTTGCGGTTGTCGTAGCCGCCGTGGTGGCCAATGTACTCAGTTCGGGGAGGATTCAGGGGTTGTTGGTTGAAGTACAGTCCATAGTTTGTAGATGGTTGGGGTGCATAGTAGCTAGCATGCCCAGCCTGATGTGCGAAGGCGGCCGAGTTAGTCCGAATGTGGCCATTATGATCATAGTAGCTAGAAGAAGCTGGAGGCAAATTAGCCTCTAGTTGGGAGAAAATAGAGGACATTGGATGCGCAAATGTGAGCTTTTACATACCTTTGCCTGGCTGCGCCCGGTAACCGTTCAGGCCTTGGTCCTGAGGCGAGCGGACGAGCACCGAGTCATCGGCGTGGGTCTGGAGAGTGTTAGTTTCCTGTGCGTCTTCGATGTGCCGATTAGGGCGGGTGTGCATCTTACCTTGACGTGCTTCTTCAGGTCCTGGGGACGCTTGAATGACTTGCCGCAGAACTCGCACTTGTGAGGCTTAAGCGGGACGTGCACGCGAATGTGAGAAGTAATGTGGTCACGCTTGACGGTGGTCGTTCTGCATGAGTTCCACTGGCAAGTCAAGTTGAGGTTATTGGTGCTCTTGCGGCCGACATGGCGCTCGCAAATGTGCTCCTGAGGAAGACGATTAGCAGGATGATTGCGGGCATCTGGGAGTCAGGTATGGCATACATAGAGAGCCTCGGGTGAGACAAACTTAAGGTTGCAGGCGTTCCACTTGCAGATGAGGTTGTCCTCGGCGCTAGTGCTGTTGGCTGACTGAGAGGTGTTGCTGGTCGTTGTCGAGGGAGCCGGGGTGTTGCTCTTGGGAGAGTTGCTCGCAGAGCTCTCATTCTCTTGCTTTGTCGACATGATTTGTGAGTGTGATGGCCGCGCAGGGTAGCTCGGTGAGATGAGTCCGGGAGGGTGAGTTGAGTCGGGTCCCGCGGGTCAGGGAACACCGAGTGCGGGAGTGAGGTGAGATGTGTGTAAGTGAAGTGGGGTCCTTCAGTGTGCTCAGGCAGTGGGTGGATGGATGATTCCAAAAGTGTAGATTGCCGAAAGCAGGCAAGAGGGTGATACTGCGAATAGGGCAAAAGGCTGGAACGGGGGGAAAGGAGACGGTCAGCAATGCTTTTATGTTTTTCTGCCGACTCTCGCAAGACTGGGTTGTTCTTCGAGAATTCATTCAGTCTGATCTGGGGGCATGGACGATGGCTTGTCTCTTTATTCATGAATCACATTTCCTCTCCGCTCTTCCTACCCTCCTAAGAGTCTTGGCAAAGTCTTGGCGACCGGGGGCTTGTCAGACCAGCTGACTTTTCATTGGTCGAGGGTGGCGAGGGCTTCCGAGCAGATGTCGCAGGTGGTGGAGAGAGACATGATGTGGCAGCACTGCGCCCGGCAGCCCCGTTTTTAGCACTGTACGGAGGACGGTAATGACTATCCTTCTTCCTCCTTTTGCAATCGCAGTTTCAGTTAGGCAAGGCTACAGGCACAGTGTCCAAAAGACAGCCAGCGCCATGGGCACACACTGACTGGCCATGTATCCCGCCAACACCGCAACATCCGGGCGCATACGATGCCAAGACTTTGGCTGTCTTGGGAAGTCTTGGCAAATCTCCAGTTTTCACCTCTTTCTCCCTTCGCCGAGACCTTGGCATTTGCACTTGGCGCCCATTGCTTCATCCTGCGCGCACCCGTTTCCAGTTGCTGTTGGTCAGTAGCTCGCCATCAGCTGATGGCCGCAAGCGCGGCGTAGGCGTTTGGTTTTCTCGTTTTGTCGTCGTCGGCCGGCCGGATGATGGGACGTTCCCTTGTTTGTCACCTTCCGTCGCCCGTGGTGGGACTGCGGTTATTGTTAAGAACAAACGGGATCCATCGGTGATGTCGCGTCTTGTGGTATACAGTGACAGCAATTATTTCCGTCTATACTCCGCACCTGGCTGGCAGATGCTGCAACCATATTCTCGGTGTCGTCTGAAGAGGAGGCCCGCGACCGTCTCAGATGGGGAAGAGCTGTTTCCAGCCGAGCGAGTGAGCCGAGTATTTTTGGGGTGTGACCGGACGGGACAACAGACCCAGGACTGTCCTTCCCTAGAGAAACAAGCCGCCAAGTACTCTCGTACCTGATGTCACAGGGCAAAGGCAAAGCATCCATCGTACCAAAGGTACATTTTCAGGCAGCTCAGAGATAGGACGATTGACAGGACATGGGAATGCCCGGTGACGATTGACAGGCAAAGGGAGAAGCGACAAGAAGCGACAAGCCTTCCAAGCCTTTTCCAAGCCTTTTCCTGGTACCAAGACTCCCCAAGAGGCCAAGAGACCGACGAGGAAGGGAATAAAACACAGGGGCTCCACGGATGCCCAGGAAGCGTCGGCGGGCGGCCTCGGACGCTCCGATAAGCGCATACCCCGTAACTCCATAAAAGGCGACGGGAATGGGACCCGCCCCAAGAAACGCCTGCGCGGACAGATGCAGCCCGCTCGTCATTCCGCACTGGGCATGTCCCCAATGTGCTTAACCGAGCGTCTCCACCTCCCCTTTTTCGACTCGATGGTGGGATCAAGACCTCGATAAGTCGGGGCGGCCCCCACTGTTTTCGGGGCCAGGTGACTGTCGACACGGTGGATGAGGGGCGACGCCCAAGAGCGAAAAGAAGCTTTCCGCTCCTCTCTTCTTGGCCTCTCCGCCGCAGCCAAGACTGCCAAGTCCTTAGCGCCAAGGGCTACGCGCAAGCAAAATACGCTCGCCTGCTGTGTCCCCCCTTGGCCCCCTCTTCTCGACATGTTCGCAGCACAGTCGCCGCTCCCCTTTGGTCAGCGAGGAGCCGTCCAAACCGGCTCGTCCCTAGAGTGTTGCGCAATACCGCCTGTTGCGGCCCACGCGAGGCAAGCCGATGTGCCGGGCGTTGGGAAACGTATTTGTGCGACGATATGGGTGGGCATTGCCAAGACTTAATATCTGGGAAGGGGGGGACTTGTTGTGTGGTGCATGGGAAGAAGGTCGGCGAGCAAATTGTGCGAATCGAGAATTGAGTGAGTGAGGTGGGAAAAGTAGGCACTGAGGTAGCGTGTCGTGCCAAACGCACATCAGCCAGTCGGGGTCCGAGTCGTACGTATCCGCGCAAGGCGGGCACTCTGGTACCTAGGTACATCTCCAGATGTACAGAGTAGCATCTCCTGCCTGCCAACCTCCATATGGCCAAGACTCAATTTCTGGCAAAGGCAGGTACCTCCACCCATCCCTCCCATCCTCCTTCCTTCCCTGCCTCTCTTCCCACCATCCAGCTGTGGTGATTGGAGTCACCTCCCTGGACCGTCCTTTTTGCCTTTCCCGATACCATTTTGACTCTCGTTGTCGGATTTTTGCGCCATCTGCACCGCATCGCAGAAGCCCTCAGCACAGCCTTCTTCGTCGATCCACCGAATCCGTCTCCCCGTCCGTTACCTTAAAACATGGACCCCAACGTGTCCGAGCCGACGCCTACTCAGGTGAGCGGGTCGGCTAAACTTGGCAGTTCGACCCACGCTGGCGGTACACCAGCTGGTGTCAGAATCCTTCTGAGAGTCTTGAGTACTTTGGTCTTCCCAGGCCGAGTCGCCGCGTCGTCGTCCGTCTCCATGGTCGCCGCGCCAAGCCTTCATCGATAAAAGACACGAACCCCAAGAACGACGAGCCGTCTCACAAACCCATGCCATCACATCATTAGCAACCCCGCAGGGCCACCAGTGGGTACTGTGCGTTTGCTGCTGCAGACTACTTCCAGCTTGTCGAGGCCAGGACTCGAGACAGCACGAGACACGACACTGCGAGCTGGCTACGGGATACAGCCATCACAGCCAGCCCAAACTGAGAATTTGCCGCTTCATCGCCCAGCCAAGACAAAGCCTAGGCGTTCTTGGCTGCAGATACCAAGCACCATCAGCCCGTGTCCAATCTTGCCCACCTTGCGGCCGCCGCTTCGTGGTTCAATGAGGCTGTGCAAGTAATGCCAAGACCTGCGAGGATGGACGGTTTCGCCTTGGGTTCAACCCTCTCGCCTGTTCAGGGGGGAAGCCTCCAGTCCACCACTCCAGCCCTCAGCGACTCACACTCAATCAGAGGACAAGCAATCAAAACGAGGCCTTTGCCGGTCTTGGCGCTGCTCCTCTCGCAATGTTTGGCCCGCCACTTGCATTTCATTTGCGCGATTTGTGAGTTTGTTTGGGGCCGTCTCAACGTCTCTGCCCCATCCCCGTCAACCACCAGATTGACTTTTTGACTCCTCAATCCCCATCGGTCGTCGCCTGTCCCACGCTGTTGCTGACATCGACCAAAGAGATTAAGGTTCTAGGACGGATACCCGCATACCTTGTGCCGTCCTGCATGACCACCACCCCCCATTGACCGCACCGTGAGAATACTCACCCATGCGCCACGAGCCTGATGAGTCTGCCGTGCCACGGAAATATACCAAGCTTTCCGGCTAAGTCTTGGGAGCTCAAGACCCGAGCGAGAAGACGACCTCGTGCCCCCAATGGTGACACCACAATCAACGGCAACGCCATGATGTAATCTGATAATACCGCGACCCCTTCCGAGCTTCGGCATCTGTCCACATTGGAACCCGCGACGTTTGGTAGTCGTTATTCTGGGCTTTCATCAGACCATTTTGTCCATCCCCCAAACGATCTCGACGGCCCCGGCAGTTTGAAGACGCAAGGCCCACCAAAAAGGCCCAAATGCGGAGGTTTGAATGGGGTGGCATGTGTTCGGACGCCAGGCCGATGTTAGGAAGGATTCTGCTGGCGCTGCAGGCAACTCAAGAGGGGGATCACCGCAGTCCTCGCTCGGCGAGCTCAAGCCAAGATGCCAGTAGGGCTTGTTGCAGAGTGGGCTTTGCTCCATTTTCATGGAACCCACGCGCTCTTGGCCTTTTGTCTCACAAGCTCCAGACTTTGGAAGACCGTCTTGGCACTCGAGCAGAGGTCCATTGGCATCGTTCCAGTGTACAGACCGCGTTGGCAAGCGGACAAGGAATCGCGTTGCGCGACCAGGCTTGGAAATCTCTAGGCGTCTTGGCCCATCAGCTTGGGCGTTCCCAGTGGCCTTGGATTACATCAAGTTTCGGCGTCAATTGGCCCATTGGCGGGGCCAAGGCTCACAGCCATCGTCCCAATCTTATCCTTACATCCATCGGTGGTGATGGGTGATGGGTGATGGGTGATGCTCGGGCGCACAGGAGCAGGGGAACTCGGAATGCGGACGCCTCAGGTACTGACCTCCTTTCCACAGAAAGAACACGCGATCACAGCGCAACCCTCTATCAACAACCGAGAAGTCTTGCGGTTTGTGAGATGCAGCCGGAGTTTCTCACACCAAGACGACATGGCCTTGGTTCTGGTCTTGGCTCCATCTTGGCCGGGCGATTGTGACGATGATTAAGGACAATCCTAGGATAAATGGGGACTGAAACGGCTGCCGTCCTTCGGTACCCGGGCCCCGGCCTGCCGGTAGACGAGAGGGTACGATCGTCAAGCAATGGGCCGTGCTGTCAACTGGCGATTACCCATGCCTACCGAGTAAGGTCGTCGACTTGTCAATTCTTGGCGCCTACCTGCCGGAGAATAATCCTTAATCAACACGAACATCTGTCTTCTGAGTCGCCAAGCCTCCTCACCATCGTTCTATCAAGCGGTGCACTGGCTCATCAGTGCCGGCAGAGCGGCTGTAACCTCGAGTGAACCATTTGCTTACCATTACTCAATGTCTCAGCTAATGTTAGATGATAGCTTCAACTGCTCACTGTTGATAGTAGCATTCACTCTGCAGAGTCGCCACATGGATCCAAAAAAGGTGTGTGTTCGGAACAGTTGTGATTCAGGAG